TATTGTTAATTTTTACAACAAACTTATATATGTTCAGTTTGAACAAAATAATTGTTATATTTAAATTTTAGACCTTGTTTGATTCTTTTTTCAAAATACATTTTTCTTTCTTTTTTCAACCGCACATTTTTCAATAAAATAGTATTACATTCAAATTCAAAACTTTTTCTTATTTTTAATCACATATTTTTCATCGAATCATTATTCCAAAATGCACTTTTTTGCCAAAAAAATGGGTATCAAACGAGACTCTTAATAATTTATTGCTGACAACGGTCGACGATCCACGGTCGCCCCGTGCTAACCCAAAATCCTGGGTCTGTCACTGACCACTTGCCTCCTTAATCTTCTTCTCTGCAATCTTAGACACAAGCTTTGCCTTGACAACAAAAGGCTAGGCCGGCGGCAGCATCCCCTTGCCTAAAACCTTGAAGAAACCAAAGTTGGTCACATCAATCATTGGCACAGCAGAGCCCTTTTGAGCTTGAGCTTGTGCCTTGACTTCGAGAGGTACAAGAGACCAAAGCTTGTCGATGTTGACGGTGGGGCAGAAAAACTTGTTCTGGAGCTTGTGGAAATAACGCATTCCTACTTTATCGAAGTATCCCAGGTGGTACTTGTTGAAGAGGATCCAGTGGTGGTGCATTCCTCCGGCATTTCTGCGTCCTCCGGGATGCTTCCAGTGTTTTTCGATACGCCCATGGCCACGCTTCTTCCGATGCTTCTTAAATCGAGTTGTCATTTTTTGGTGGAGTTTTGGGAAACGCTTTATGGAGAGCTTATCTTAGGAGTTGGAAAGCTTGGACCGAGGTGGGTGACAATCAAAATGCTTTGTTATGAAACATAGCGAATGAAGGTGACGGCTTCATATACATTATTATAATTTCAGTATATTGTGATTACAATATCTCAATGGCCATACATCCAATGGAGCTAGAACTTCGTAGAAATGACTATGAAGATTGTTGACCCCAAAAAATGTTGCCAATAGATGACGGGCTCACTCGTGCACACGCAAGCTTGATCCGACACGCTAATGCCGATCAACGGTCAAGATGACTCCAGAAAATGGGCGTGGGAGTGGCTCAAAGGCACGAGATGTTTCCGTTCAGGCTTCCGGCAAGAAGTGTGACACGATTGTATAAGAAACCAATCAATGAAGAACGATTTGTAGTAGAAAATAATTAATTCATGAAAAAACCTGATTTTTATAATTCTAAAACTTGGGACCTGATTTTTGATTGAGAAATTACACCAATCCATACATTAAACAAATTGTGACCTATAAAGTTTTTGAACTGTGACCGTAAAATAATTTATGACGTAAAAAATTATGATTTGTGACCGAAAAATAATATATGACTAACTAAATTGTGAATATGTGATCATATTATATAAATCTATGATAGTCATCGGAATAGTCGTCGAAACTGTCGTCGGAATAGTCTCCGGAGAAGTCGTCGGAGAAGAGTGGTGGCTGGAACGGTCGCCGAAATAATTCCTGGAGCAGTAGGGGTGATGGAGGTGGGGTGGATTAATTNCTGGAGCAGTAGGAGTGATGGAGGTGGGGTGGATTAATTATATTATATTAGAATTAAATATTTAATAAATTTATTTAATAATTTATTAATTCATAAATAAAAATTAAAAAAAAAAATCTAATTTTTGAAATGGCACATACTTAACATCATAGATAATACTCGATTCATGAATTTTTCCCATTTCAAAATGGATGATTCGGTCCAAAACGGTCCACCTAAATCCAAATCTGTTTCAAGCCCATTGAGAACCACTACTAGCCCACCTAAAAGTATGGTCCATGCCTAACCCGAACTGTCTTCGAAATATGAGAACTGGACTGACCCTAGACATCCCAATATTGTAGGTCGGGCTGAGCGAACCCGAATTCTTGTTATTTTTAGAAGATTTAATGCTATTTTAAAAAAGCCAAAATTAAACCACAATAAATATTGTCTTCGAAGCATTAGAAAATTTCTCTATTAAATTGTTTGTTAAATGTTAAAAAATTAATTTACTAATAATTATAGATAAGAAAAAGTTGAGAATGCGTGAAGTTAGAGTGAATGAAAACTGAGAAGATAATATGAGAGATGGGAAATTATGTGGAAATATACATATGAAAAATAACTATTTATAGCAAAAAAAAAATGTTTTTTAAACAAAAAATAAAATTAGAACTTGGAAATATTATTTTTGCACTTTAATTTTTTTTTTAATAAACTGAGTGAATTGGATTGGTGTTCATGAATAGTCGAGTTGGACTATTAAGCCAGAAACGATCCGATCATTACAACGAACCAACTAGTAATCAGATCAAACAAGTTCACGATATGATTTTCTGAAGAGGTGGATCATCCCTCATTATGCCATCATCAATATTCATCCTCTACCTTCGACCTAATCGAATAATTGAGTTTCAGATTTCCCTTATTTATAAGAGGGTATGGTAGAGTTTCTTTTATTCATACACTAATTCCCCTTATTTTATAAGAGGGTTTGTTAGAAAATTTACTTTATTCACAAGTCCAAAAGTTAGCTCAAAGTGAGTTGGTAATGTTGACTGCTTGTCGCGTGCGTGTTATGACAAGTGTTTAACTTCAATTAGTTGAACTGCTTTTGAAAATCTTGCTACATCCTTGTATATAAACCTCAAACTAGTACTTATGTCTGCTAAAAGGAGAGACACAGAGAGAGCAATGGCAAGACTTGCAATTTTTATCTTCTTTATTACAGCAGCAACAATGCCATGGACTCAAGCACAAACTAATGATCAAGTTACATGGGCCAAGAGAGTTGAATCAGGTAAAGAGGTAATAACCACTCTTCAATTCTATTTCCATGACATTTTCAGTGGAAGAAACCCTAGCGCAATAAGGATTGCACAACCTTTACAAACCAACAATTCTTCTACCCTTTTCGGTATGTTGACGATGATCGATGATCCGTTGACGGTGGGGCCAGATCTTTCGTCAAAGATTGTGGGCCGAGCTAGGGGAATGTACGGTTCGGCAGGCCAGGCTGAATTTGGCCTTATCATGGTCTTGAATTATGGGTTCACCGATGGAATATATGATGGTAGCTCTTTTAGCCTTCTTAGTATCAATCGAGCTGTGGAACCGGTCCGGGAGATGGCGATTGTTGGTGGCACGGGGCTTTTCAGGTTGGCTCGTGGCTATGCCATTGCACAGACATATACGTTTGATGCTGCTACCGGTGATGCTGTTGTTGGGTACAATGTTACAATTGCGACCTATATTTGAGTTTTCAATACAATTTTTTTTTTCGTTTAATGTAGAATAATAAAGGATGGAAATTGAGGTCAGATTGTTAGTTGGGAACTAAATGAGATTCTGAATACCTTTTTCATTTTCTAATTGTTAATTTTTGCTACTTTATGGTCCAAATCCTGTTCATATTCTCAAAGAATAGTCAAAACGTTAGACTTTCTGCAGGATAAAAAATTCGTCGCTTTAGTTGGGTTAGGTGAACAACTTTCTTCAACTTATTGAGCGATGACACTATTATAAACACACACATAGAATGATAATATTCAAATGACTAGCAAAAAGTTTGCCGAATTTTAAAGTTAGACAACACGAATTCTTTCAAGAGTTATGCGACATGTACAAAGTTGATTGACAAAATAGCATCTACACTAATCATTTTAAAAACATATTTTTTAAATCATTTGAAATCAATGGTCTGAATTTTGCCATCACACTTTGTACCCCAACTTTTGTAACTCAACTTTGTACAAATAGGTTTATTGTTTTTTTTTTAAATCGAAAAAAGTGTAATTGAAAAATAATGAGAAAATTGCATGTTTAGTCCTAAAGCATGACCTATATAGCATGATGATCTTTACATTAGAACAATTTAATTACAAATTTCATTGTTATTACATGTTCCATAATTTGTGATTGTCCTACTTCCTATAAAAGAGCGGATCCCAATTGTCACTGTTCATCTCGTGTCGTTCAATTCACATTAATCCAGATTCAAACCGGTTTGTTACTGTTCACAACATGATGCCGCGCACAGTTAGTTTACTGTTCATCTGAAGGCTTTCTTGACTATCCGTGACGTGTTTTATATTTTCTTTCCATCTTATCTTCACTGATGATGAAATTCAACACGGGTCGACTGCATTTAATGAAAATATATTAGCTGGCCGTTGTTTTTTTTTCTTTTGTCATTTGTCACCATTTAGTTTACTGTTCATCT